CAAGGAAACCAGCAGCAGATTTGGTGGTGAGGGGTGGGGGGGTGTGCCAAGCAGCCGTACATGAAGCTGGTGGCAGTGCGGAGTCTCTGCAGCTACTCCGCCCAGCTCTGCACAGGCCCCCCAAAGTGCAGGGTCTGGGGTGGTCCCCTGATTTGTCCCTGTGTCATCCCCCCCTCCCCCAGGACAGCCCTGCCCCTGCCCCTCCTGTCCCATCCCATCCTCCTCCAGTGGCGGCTGCTGCTGGTTTCCTCACTGCCCCAGAGGTGGGGGAATCTTTCCTGCCCACAGAACCAGTGCCTGTTGCAGGGGTGTGTGGGGAGTGGATCGTGGCTCTGCCCTGGACCCCAGTCCCACACTCACCACCATACGATCCCAGCCCTGCCTTCCTGTCCTGCTCATGGATGCTGTTCCCTGCCCACCCACAGCCTCATCTCATCTGCCCAGCTGAGTGTGCCCTGCCTGCGGGGGTCCTGGCCCAGTTTCCATGAAGACCTGCTCTGTCCGGTGCCCCCAGCACTGGGTGCAGGGTAGCCAAACTTGTGGCCAGATAGAATCAATTGGCAGCTTCCTGGCCCACTTTCCCTCCCCACCCATGCTGGGCTGTGTAAACAGCTATGATGGGGAGCTGAGGCTGGATCATTACACTTCCTCCTCCCTACCCCCCTTCCCCCTCCTCCCACCACACACACACACACAGGTAGCGCCATGGGTGCCCATTGCAAAAGTAGCCCTTGTTGCCTGTGATTGGGAGTGGCAATTTTCCTTACCCTAGTAACACACAGGCAAGAGATCCTTAGCAGTCTTGCCTACCAGCCCTTTTCCTTAAATATGCATTCCTCATTTCCTTTGGCTAAACCATGTCCAGAATTATGGTTATATCAGACAACATAACCTAGTCCATGTAGAGACAAAAGCAGCATAAAAAAATGCAGGAAAACACTGCCTTTTCAACAGGCCTAAACATGCAATATTATTAAAACAAGCATAAGAAGGTCTGTGTGATGTTCCCCCCACCCCTCCCCAATGAGCCTCTTGAATTATAGCGGGGTTTGTAACAACAGGGTTGTTATGTCATCCTTCTACATTTAGCCTCCTTGTGGCACTGCCCCACTGGGAGCTGTATTGGTAGTAATATCAAGGGATTCTGTCTTCCTATATTCTAGCCCAAATCACTGTTCATTGTTTAGAATGGAAATGTCCAAGAAAATGCTCAGAACATTTGTGAGCAAGAGGGTTGCTTTTCCTTGGTTTTGTCTGAATGTCTTCACCTTGTCATCATGTTTCTCCTAGTCACCCATGTTTGATGGCAAAGTCCCTCACTGGCATCATTACACTTGCTTTTGGAAGCGGGCTCGGATCACGTCTCATGCGGATATTGATGGCTTCCCTGAGCTGCGATGGGAAGATCAGGAGAAAATAAAAAAAACCATTGAAGCGGGGGGACCTGCCACAGGTACGTAAACCTCAAAGGCTGGTCAGGAATGCAAGAAGCCGGGTCTGTTTAGAACAATCCTATCTACATTCAAGTTGTCAGCAAATAACAGTCACGATTCTTGGATTTGATGCTCATTGTCCCTTCGAAAGGAAATTGGAACAATCGGTGCATCCTTCCTTGGTTTTGCTCTTGACAGGGGAACCAAATCCATTTCTGAGCTCAGTCAAATAGCCAAAAAGTGAACCAAACGTGCAGAAGGAAAGGGCATTCACCGGGAGCATCCCCAAATATAGTCCATTTTCTCTAGTGTATTTGCTATTAGTAACTGTTCTCTACTGTGCTGTGGAAAAAAGTAATGTCTCAGTAACCTGAGATCTCATTATAGTAACTGTATTGTGGCTGCACGTAGATGAAATGAGAGGCGTGTGTACACGACACTTTAAAACGGGCTAAATTCTTTTGCACAGCTTTAGTGGTGTTGGTGTTTGCATGCCTCAGTGGCATATTGCACATTAATTCCAGCCGCTGTAGGAAATTTGGCAGTGTAATGCGCCTTAAATAACTTGGGGCGCAGCAAACTAAAATTCCATTGAGGAGCTTTAGTTGCTGCCCCCATAGCCGCAGAGTGAAGCATGGGGCTCTGTGCAGCTCCACGGCCCTGCAGGAAGCCCTGCAGGCAGCCTGTCAGCAGCCCGGGAAAGCAACTCTGCCCAAGAAAAGCAGCGAGCCTGATTTCCACCCCCCATCCCCTCCCCCCACCCTCAGGAAGGCACATGACAGAA